GGAAACCAATGGTATGGGGGAAAGTTACAGTGCAGGCCATGCTGAAGGAGCATGGGCTTTTGTCAAACAGGTTTTTATCTTTTTTCTTTCTTTAAAAAAGAAATCTCCTATATTTAAAAACCCCAATGGTTGATAAGACCTTTGGATCTTAATGGTTAGATGACAGGGAATATGAAAAAGACATGTTGCTAATATTTTATCTAAAAACAACCACTGAATGCTGTAAGAAGATAAGCTGAGCTCTCAAAAAGATGTGTAGGGGCCAGGGAGATGGCTCAGTGGAATAAGTGCTTCCCTGGCAAGCACAAGGGCCTGAGTTCAATCCCTAGTTCCGCAAAAAAAAAAAAATGTATATGACACATTTAGAAAACCAGGAGGATCCTTCAGGATTAATGGGTGGCATCTTACTGAAACAAGATGCATATTAGTAACAAGAAAACATACAAATAGAAGATGCAAACTCATTTACTTCCGATGCAACTAAAAGATAGAGAAGATGAAATTATTACCAGGACAAAACGATTTTCTTCAAATTAGTATAATTATAATGCTGGGTCAGAGTTATTTCTATTACTCTGCTTAACGCAGAAACCATCTTCATCATATTTGCATATCTTCTACAGCCCTGAAGCCTGGGATACATCTCTATTATAACATTAAATCTTCTACTGGTTCAAGCTAGTAAAACTATGTATTTTTCTATCATGCCATTAAGCAGCATTAGCACAAAAACAAATCAAGGGCCAGGGAGATAGCTCAGTAGAATAAGCGCCTGCCTGGCAAGTGCAGGGTCCTGAGTTCAATCCCTGGTACCGAAAAAAAAAAATTCAACAGTGTTCCTACACACTAATAATGAATCCAAGAAAAAAATTTAGGAAAACCATACAATTTACACTACCCTCAAAAATTATGCAATAATTAACCTAACCAAGGATATGAAGGGCGTCTAAATGAAAACAATAGCACTCTGAAAAAGAAGGTTAATAAAGACATCAAAAAAGGGAAAGAACCAGACAAGGTGGCGCTTGCTTGTAATCCCAGCATTCGGGAGGCTGAGACAAAAAGAGCACTGTGAGCTCAAGGCCAGCCTGGGCTACATAGTGAGTTCAAGGCCAGCCTAAACTGCATGGTGAAACCATGTCTCAAAAAGACAAAAAGAAAAAAAGGAAAAGATATTCTTAGTCCCTGAACAAATTTTTTTTGGTGTTCTTTTGTTTTTTTTTTTTTTTCGGAACCGGGGATTGAACTCAGGCCCTTGTGCTTGCCAGGGAAGCATTTATTCTACTAAGCTATCGCCCAGGCCTCTTTGTCCCTGAACAGGTAGATCAAATTTTATTAAAATGGCCACACTACTAAAACAGATGTATACATTTCACACAGTTCCAATGAAAAGCAATAATAGAACACCTCACAGAATTAGAGAAAACAATCTTAAAATTCATAAAGAACTAGAAAATACTTAGAATAGCAAACTAATCCTAGGCAACAAGAGTAAAGGAAGAAACACCACAATCCTGGACATAAAGTTATATGAGCAAGTTACAGAAATAAAAACAGCATGGTACTGGTACAAAACAGATGTCAATCAATGGAACATAATAGAGTATGCAGAAACAATGCTACCATATTCAGCTATCTGATCTTTGACAAACAGATCAAAACATGCTAGAGATAGTCTCTTTAACAAATGATGCTAGGAAAGTTGGTTGCAAACATACAGCCTAATAAATCTAGACCCATATTGCTTATCCTGTACTAAAATGAAAACAGACCAGTGGCCTAGACATTAAATAGAAACAATCTGCTAGAAGATAAAATAGGTGACATTGAAGCCATAGGCACAGGCATGGACTTTCTAAACAGAAATGTAATTGCAAGGGCTGGGGACATGGCTCAGTGGAATAAGTGCTTCCCTGGCAAGAGCAAGGGCCTGAGTTCAATCCCCAGTTCCACAAAAAATCCAAACAAACAAATAAAAAAAAACCAGAAATGTAATTGCAAAACACCACCAAGAATTTAAAATATGGCAATGTATCAAGTTAAAAGCTGAGGTTGGGGAGATGGCTCAGTAGAATAAGCGCTTGCTTGGCAAGCTAAAGGGCCTGAGTTCAATCCCCAGTTCTGCCAGAAAAAAAAAGTTAAAAGATTTTACATACAAAAGATAAAAGGAACAGAATAAAGAAACAAGCTATGAGATGAAAAACGTTTTTGTCAGGTACTCCTGGAAAGGGCACTACTATTTAGAATATATAAAATACTCAAAAAATTAAATACTCAGAAATAATATACCCGACCAAACAATAGGCTATTGAAATGAATAGAGGGGGCCGGGGAGACAGCTCAGTAGAATAAGTACTTGCCTGGCAAGCGCAAGGGCCTGAGTTCAATCCCTGGTTCAAAAAAAAGAAAGAAAGAAAGAAAGAAAAAAAGAGATACTTCTCAGAAGAAGTAAAAATGGCTAAAAAGTATATAAAAATGTTTAGCACTTTGGCCACCAGAAAATACAAGTGAATGAAACACTGAGTTTACAGAAAAAAAACACAAACACCTTCTGAATTAGGGATTGGAATAATTAATGATTACAAACCATTTCATAGGTGAAAATACTAATTGTGTCAAAATGATTTAATTACAAGAGGGAGAACTGCACAGGAAGGAAACTTAAATAGAACCAGAACTATTGTCTTAAACCACAACGTTATATTGGTCTCTCCAGTAAAATCCACACTCTTCACCATATGGGAGGACTACTTCTTGCTGTAAGGGAAAAACCTCCCTCAATCAGGGGTACTCAGAAAGGCACACGACAAACCAGTGAGGAGGAAAGGTGGACCCAGGCTGGGAATGACGTGTGATCAGGGGGTCACACAAAGATCATCTGTCAGATCTGTCCTCTTCTTGTACACTGGTTCCAGGACTGACGTGCATACATTCCTAGATCCAAGTACAGAAAGACATTTTCTACTGCTGTTTCCTTCCTGAGAACAAGGAAGTTTATACTTCAGAAGCTCTCCGCAGAGACTGCCTTTCACGTTAGCAAGCACTGGGTCAGTTCCCTATTCTTTGGTTAGTAGGGAGCCCACAGATGGGATGGCCATGGCGGCCTGAGCTGAAAGCCTGGAAATGGAATGGTTCTTGGCGGGACTCAGTTCTTATCTACCCCGAGGGACTCAGCTAGAGAACACTCCCTTCAGGAGGCATTCTCTGGCTTCCTCCCCAAGCCACAGACAGCAAACCTTGCTCAGAGTTCTCACCACACCCACCATCTCCCCTCTCTCGGTTCTAGTACCACTCAGCTGGTCTCAGATGGATATCTTCTGTCCCACCCACTAGGCCAGGAGCCAACAGAGTTAGCAATGTTGCGTGCTTTGCCACCACAGAGCCCTGACCCAAGTACATATCCACAAATATCTATCAGATGAAGTAAGAAGAACATGGATCCTCTATAAACAACTCACCTACATGTTACCCTTGTAGAATCTACATGGATCCATATGCAAAGGAAGACATTCCTGCACTGAGAGATCAGGTAACGTCCCTCATGTCACACAACCAGGAAAAGACTCGAATTCCATATCAGGTCTGCCTGACGGCAGTTGCACATGCCCCTGGTAGTGGAGCATGGCCTCTGGATTCTTGGCCCCCTCTGAAGTCTGAGTTAGAGAGTAACTGAGGTACAGAGTTCTGAAAGGAAAGTCCTGGAGGCTGGTCCCGATGTCCAGGGCTGGTCAGGGGATCAGGTCACTCCTAGGGCAATGTTACCAGCCTTTACTAGTGCCAGGCTGTCCTCTCAGTGACCAGAGCACTGCAACAAACCTCATCAACACCCTGCTCACCCTGGCTTACATTCGAGTGGGAGGGATGTGAAAGTAATGGCTAAGCAAGCAAGTGAACAGCATGCCAGGCTGTTGAGCATTGTGAAGACAGTTGTGCTGATTTTGACAACTGAAATAATGATACTGGGGCAAGGATTGTAGCTCAGTGGTACAGCACTTGCCAGCCCTGGGCATGGACCCGAGTATGATCCCCAGCACAAAAAAAAAAAAAAAAAAAAAAAAAAACCAAACTCCAAAACAGGTAAAATAGCAATAGCATGAGATATTTTCTGCCAACTGTCCCAAATGGTTTGAAACATTCATATGAACATAGTTTCACT